AGCCATGAATGTCAATATATTTATACCTAGTGCTACCATAGGAGGGAAAAGTCAGAAAATTTAGTTCAATTCCAGTTAAGCACAGGTTTATGTAGATTTGGGCTCAAGGATAGACTAGAAATTTGAGCCAATCACCTTTTTTTCATTACGATTGTAAATATTTTTCTCTTCGTTTCCATGAAAGATGACTCAAATCAAACCTTGCCATTTCAGAAAGTATCTAATGCCATCTCAAATTATTTAGATGTATACAGAGTGAAACACTAAAAGACATTAAAAATAACACTGACATAAATTCCTAAGCTTCAGAAATTACAGGTACCAGATTCGAATTCATCATTCTACCACTGTAAACAATTGAGCTCTTTGTCTTTTTCTGCCTGTAATGCAGGCAGCCTTCAACCCCTCAAGGGGATCAGGACGTGGCGCGTCTCGCTCGGGATAACACAGTACCTGCAATGAGCAGCGAGTCCATCCTGGCCGGGGCTTGCGGGGGTTTGAAGAGTTTGGACAAGTCCTCCTCAGGGAGCGGCGGCTCTCCTCGGCTCTGACGCTGCATATTCTCCTGCTGGCGCCGCTGCTGGTACTATAATCCAGAGGGAAAACGCTATCCTTGGTGTTGGGGATTAGGTGTCCAACTGCCCACTGCAAGGTCAGTGGTTCAAACTCACCAGATGCTCCGGGGGAGAAAGATGAGGCTGTCTGCTCCTGTAAACGCTTACCGTCTTGGAAACCCTGTGTGAGGTTTGCTATCCATCAGAACTGACTAAATCTCCACTTGGTTTTGGTTGGGGTTGGAACCCTTCACTACTGATGTAATCAGCAAAACCTCCTATTGCTCTAAATGATCACCTTAGTCTTAGGCCTGTAACCACTGGTAACTCTTACATCTAATTCGCTAAATATGGCAACAGTTGAATAAAAAGCCTTTGTTCCAGTGCCATCCTGAGCTGTGAGAGTCTGTGTAACCAATCAGAAAAATGAAACTGGCGTGTCAGTAATGGGCCTTAAAAGGCAAAGAAGTTGTGGTGAGTGAGTAAAAAGGAGTAACATTTACAGAACTACAGACACTTAACTGGAACTAAGGAAGGAAGTACACACTGGAGAGCTCTGTAATTCTGATCATGTTACCCTGCTCTGTTGACTTATTCTCGAGAGAGGACTACTTCATGCCTTGGCAAAGAATGAGTACTAGACTTAGATGATGTCTCAAAGACTCAAGTAACGCATCTTTATGGCTCTCTGAAGAGAACATGGAAGACACCATGCACCGCTCCCTCTTCTTTTCAAATACAGGACGCCTCCAACCTACAACATACGCAAGTTAGGACAAAGCACAGGCGACGTGAGCTACCAGTGTTCTTGGTAGGGCTTTTCGTTAGTAACATGGTCTCCATACATGTTACCACACACAATTTGCTGGTGGTGTTATCATTCTCATGTCAATCCTACAGACAAAGATCAGAACTATAAAGATACTAACAAAAGGCCGTGACACTGAAAACAGAAAAAGGAGTTATTTGACATAAGTCAGAACTGACATCTATAGAGTCATCAGAAGGAAACTCCCCATACATTGTGGACTGCCTGCATACATGTTACATGTGCACACACGCTGTATAGACTAGTTAGAAAGTTGTAGGTCCATTACAATAAAGAGCTACTCTAGTAATACCTGTGAAAACCAGAACCTAGGCAGAGCAGAAACCTGTTGGAGAGAAAGCAAATATTTTCTATTCAAAGTAGAGAAAGGGGTGCGGCACCCTGCCAATGTCGGAAAAGCTGCCAGACCAGGAAAAACAAGGCAGTGCTGCGGAGCTCCACGTCTCACTGGTGTCACTGCATCTGTGAACTGCTTCAAACCCACGGGAACCAAACTTACATAAACACAGGTAATAAGGAACCATGGTAGAATCCTAGGAAGAGTAACCTGCTTTCTGAAGTTTCCTGTAGTTACTTATGGGGTGGGAAAGCAAAATAGTTACATTTCTAATGGTGCAGGTGGGAGTGCATGTAAAATTTTGCTAAAGACACTCCATTTCCAAAATGTATCTTTAAGATATGACTGCCTGAGAGATGATCCGTGATTTGGAAACATCATCTCTTTTGTTGATGAAGATACTTTATTACTTATACCTTCTCCATTATAAATAGGGTGGAAGCAATAGACTGTCTTACAACTATTTTCATTCTAAATTTAGCAGCACCAAGTTTAAAGCACATTTTGACAAACACAGAAGAGTCATATACAGGCACTGAATGTGAAATCAAATGCTAGCGTTTCAAAGCAATAATGGTCCATACACACTGTTGCAAGGACTGTGAAAACCGCGTGGCCTCCAAGCAGCATCAATAAAGAAAAGGTAAAGGTTAAATGACCACGGTATCGTGTACGGGCATAAGAGAACATTCAGGTGATTCAGGGGCTTTTACTTGTATTATACTATCTATTTCACAGTAGTGGGTCTATTATTTCCTATCAAATTGCTTGTTCTTAATCACAATTGCTCAGTTTTTTAAATGAACTCAAGATTGCTAACTATGCTGCAATGAGCCACTACCAAACCAATTATAGTTAGTAAAGAAATGAGCTGTGACATTTTGGAATCTCTTTGCCTGTGCTTTCTCAATAAATGTAGCATCTCTTATTCGCATAACCTTGGCATTACAACCTGAGCTTAAGACAGGTAGGCATTTTCAAGTGCAGCTTATAAATTACCTGAGTCATGTGTTGGCTAACACCAAATGCGGCCCAAGCCCCCAACCCCACAGTCTATCAGTTTAAAATATGAAGTGCATACAACAGTTTGTAATCACAAGGCACTACGTGGTGAGTGAGCACATCCAACATTATTCTTACCACATGATGATGTCGTAGTATTAAGGTGTTTTAGTATCATCTGGAAACGTCTGGGTTGTTTTTAAACACACAGAAAGGTCCCTTATGTACGAAAGCACACAGTTGACTGACTGGGTTAGGTATGATCTGATCCAAACTATTCTGGATTAAGTATAGATTAGGTTTAAAGGCAAATAGGACCACATTTGTTCATTTGTTTGTAATCCTGGTATTGTCTGTAAACAATAGTGTTTGTGCAATGTCCAAATCTAGTAACGTCCCAGTTCATGGGATGTATTGTGAATATTAAGTGACACAGGACTGTATCAGGAACCCACTCTCTAAAGAGTAATACACAGTATAAACAAAACCTTCCAAACACGGCAGAGTAACAGTCGGTGCTCCAAGGCAGGTCAGCTCATTCTGAAGACGCCCCTCAGAGCGTCAGAGAAAGGGACCCGGTGTGTGTGTGCCCAACAGGCGCGCGAGACGAACCTGGTGTTTCTGCTGCTGCTGCTTGCTGGTGTTCCTCATGTACGTGTTATATTTAACTATGTCCTGGCTCATTTCATCCACTCTGTCCATCAGCAACTGTAGATTCTTCCCCAAATGACTGCTGAAATGTAAAGTCAATAGAAGGACGTGTCATGGTTATGGTTTTGCCGTTGCTCTAAACAAAAACTGATTTGCCTTTCGATACATGAGCTCAAGAGATACACGTACGTGTGTGTATGTACACATTCTCTCTCTCTCTTTCTCTCAGGGACAGAAGAAGAGGTATCGACCCTTCCACACTGATTATATACCTCTGGACCCCAGGCACCCCAAATAATCTGTTTCTCGTGTGCTGGGAGAGAAGCTATTAGCCATCAAAAGGCATCTCCAGAGCCTATTTCTTAGGAACCAAGTTTAACTCCAACTCTGAATCACTCACACCACCTCCGCAACATGCCAGAGTCTACCTGTGCCTCAGAGCACGTAAACAAGTCATCCAAGGAAAAGATGGACCAAGAACACATGCTGGGATTGGCTCAAAGAGGGGACATGGTTCCTCTCAATTTCACCAATGAAAGAACTGGGACTAAAAAGCCCTATGTTGTATTTGAAATGTCATCAAGAACTCCATTAGTTCTTAAATATGCCGTTCATGTAGGGAAAGAAAAACAAAAAGCGGAGGTGCTGCCAGATATACAGGCGGGGTGGGGGTGGGGGCTCTTTTTACACCAAAATAGAGCCTTATCCTTGCCCAGAAAGGAAAAAACAAGTCATACAAAGCGCTGCGTGTGCTGTTAGTACTGTAAAGTGGGCTCTAACTCATAGCCAGCCTGCGTTCCACAGAACAAAATGCTGCCTGATCCTGCACCAGCCTCCGAATCACTGCCACCTGGGAGCCCACCATCATTCCGTATAATGAGGAAAGGATACCAACACCGCCGCAGGTACAAATATGTGCACCATGACCAGTTCCCACAACGTCCACCAAAATCAATCTCTCTAGAAATAGATTCAATTGGGAAGAGTAAACATGTCGAATACCACAGGCCCTGAAGGACACACGGAATTTAACAACAAATAACCATTTCACTGATGACATTCACAGAAAATTGGGTCCATTACCAAGAGAAATTTCATTGGGAATCTTCTCGGTGCCATCCCAACTAGAATACCGAAGCAGGACATTCTTGGTAGGTGGTTCAGCAGCACAGCATTTTCGTATATTGCCAAGGAAACACAGAACTGGAAATGGATAACTTAAACAGATGCGTCCATCCCAGAACACGGAGGGGGAAATCTGCTCTGGCCACAGTGTCATTTTATCCTTATATATAGAGATGCCCACGACCAGTTTATTGTCTCAAAAGAGGAAATAAAAACAATCATTTTTCACTTGCAAAAAGGCTAGAGGCGTACGCAGCACTTTTTAAAATAATAATAATTAAGGCCGTTGTGGAATAAGTAAAACCAGAACTTCCATCTAATAAAATGAAAACTTAAATGACAAAGGAATGTGGTCATTTTCTTCACACCGTTTCAGGTAAATCAAAGACCTGGTGTGCAAACATAGGTTGTAAAATGCAAGCCCGAGCAAAATGTTTCCAGAGCTGTTTCTGCTGGGGCATCTTACAAAAAGGTTGATAGGAACTGACCTACCACCATCACTTGACTTCAGATTAGAAATTAAAAAGGGAGATGAATGAAAGTTACATTCCCACCTTTTCCTATCATAACTCATTAAACTAAAAGGCAGAAGATAAAAAAATATAATGAAGTATTAGTCGAGCGCTTGGTTGCTATGGCGAGCTGGGAGCATATTCCCTGCGATTCTAAAGGTTTCCTTAGACAGACAGACAGACAGACAGACAGAGCTGCTCTTGGGGGATGTGAAAGCACAGGGGCCGATTTGTCTGGGTGTGCTCCGCAACACGGGCTTGGGGAACGGGACAGAGATGGACTGCATGAACCAAAGCTCCCGTGTCATAAACTGACTGCAAGAACATTAGTCCATACCACCTTATAACCTTACATGCTGTAAAAGATTCCTAGAGCAATGCTTTAAATACAGGTGTGTCCAATGTGCTAGTATAAAAAACACTACTTTCTACACTAGCCAAACGGCGTGTCGTGGATATGTGTTTGCAGTCAAACAGGAGAATCTTCGGCACCACATGAGCCTTGTGACCTGGTGATCTCACTTAGCACCACTCAAATTGCCATGCCCCTTCCCTATAAGGGGATTCTAGAAGCCTTCCTGAGGATCCAGGCAATGGAAGGTGGCTTTCTACCACAGCCTCACCCACCCTGAGGCTGAAGAGCACTGGGCTCTGAATCCCTTAGAAGTTTCTCTCTGCCTTTGCCCGTGGAAGCAGAAAGTGCCCGTGTTCTCGAGGGCTTCTATCAAAGATCATTAGAAATTTGATAAATTGCCTTTTGGCTCAAAACCTGTTGTTTAAGAAAATACAATTTATTTCTTTCAGTCATTCAGCTAATATAAGACACCGATCACCTTACTCCTCCAGCTACCTCATACCACACAAAATCACTAACGTTTATAGGGTATTGAAAAAGGGTGTGATGAGGGGGCTTCTTGGGAAATTTCTATTGCCCTCTCATTCTACTTTCAACGAACTTTTTAAAGCACCCTTGCATAGGACGCTGTTCTCTTTCTGTGGGAGAAAATCGTTAAAGCCGTACCACGCACAACCTGCTGAGGAGTGAGCGCCTCAGGCAGCACGGTACCAGTGTAACACTCAAGTAAGGTCTTGGCAACTGGGCTAGTAGCTTAGCCGACAGTTGTCACTAGTGTCTAAGATGGGTACAAGCCAGTGTCCAACTCTGAAAAATCAACTTCTTGGTAAAACCCCCAGCAAGGGCAAGTGCAGCGGCACAGGAAAGCAGCGCTATCTGCCTCCTGCACGGCATTCAATGACCAGGGGAGCAGCAGAAGATGGGCTCCCGGTAAATAAACTCACCCAAATAAAACTGCCTGCTCCACCCGGGGCCAGATGGCATCTGAGCTGGCAGGGCGCTGCCCCGTGGCTCTTAGCCTGGGGAAGGGCACAGGATTCCCGAGCACTTCCCAGCATCAAGTGGGCATCTTGTCCTGTGACCTCAGCTGGGCTAGACAAGCACTACATGTGGTTGTACACAGCTCACTCGCCTAAAAATGTTCCCAAGGAATTTATTTCTTCTTTCGTAGGTAACGTGTATGTAAAGCAAGAGGCCAGTTCTGACCAGATCCAAGTTGTGTAAAATGTGGATGTAGCAGCACGAAAACCAGAGCAGCAAAAGTGGCGTTAGGTCAACGTCCTGTTGGAAATGCCATCCTAAGGACCTCCTAGAGAAGCACCCCAAAACACACAGGATTTCTGCTTCCGAGTCGGACCCAGGATGCCCTGCTCCAGGCCTGGTACCCATGCACAGCATTGAAGGAGCAGCTGTCCCCAGTCCTGCCAGTCCTCCCCAATCAGGCTCCTGAAAGGGCTCGGCGCTACTCGCCCCTTCCAGGTTTCCCATCCCAGGGCTCCATTCGGTTTACCAAGTCCAGGCTGTTCTGATTTTGCACAGTGAACCAGTCTGGACTGGTTTGAGGCCCTATGTCGGACGGCTCTCCATGAACATGGTGAACCCTGTAGGGAGTCTCGTCAGGTCGGGCGACTCACCTGCTCGCAAGGCTGAGCAATTCATGTTTATCTGCAACGGCCGATTTCTTCTCAAGTTCCCACATGAGAACGTTGATCAGATGTGAATTCTTTATTACGATCGGCACCTCTTCAAACATGTGCTCAAAGGTGATAGTTGCCTTTTTCAATCTGTGAAATATGTTAAAGATACTTTTACGCTGGTGGTCAGAAGTGTTAAATTGACGATTTCAAATATTCTACCCAACTATAAGCCTTCTTCAGGATCTTTTGGTGAGTTTCATTAGTAAGCAGCATTTTTTTAGAAAGTGAGAGAAACCAGGTTGAGTGATTTCAGTACCGCTGACATTTTTGAGTTTTGAACCGTTTATCTATTTTAAGAAAGTGAAAACCAAGCTCAGTGCCCCTCGAGTCGATTCCGAGCCATGGTGATCCTGCAGGACAGGCTAGAACTGTCCTGTGGGGTTCTGAGACCAACTCCTTATGGGAGCAGAAAGCCTCATCTTTCGGTGCTAAACTATATAAAAGCCCAGAGAAGTAAGATTCTTAGCAATAACAACAGAAGCCTACTCTCTATAATCCTGTGTCCTTTTTACCATTGCGACTAAAATAAAAATTGCCATACCGAAAGTTACATAGGACCACCTAGAACATAATTTTTTTTTTTAAGTTAATAGCAAAATAAAAGGTCAATAGACACATCCCCATTTCTGGAGAGCTCATTTTAAAATTTGCTGAACTAAGGAGATGAACAACTAGTGATCCCTCACAGGACAATGGCTCAAACCCACAGCTGCTCACAGGCTGGCGGGAACTACAGCACGGCCGGGAATGGTTCTTTTCGATTCTTTGCCCCTTGTTTCTTTTGAAGGCAAATGGGAAACTAGCAATGAGCTGTGCTATGTGTATTCAAAACCATTAAATTGATTTAACAGAAAAGTGAAGAATTCAAAAAAAATTTTTTTTTGTATCCCAATGACACTAAGCAGGAATGCAAACAGCTCTATCCCTCCTCTCCTCCTTGTTGTTTAGACACTCTCAAGCCCTCTTCTCTGAGGTGCTTGCATTTCTAGTACACCACATTCTGTACGGGACCCCTGGAGTGTCTCTGCCCCGACTCGCTGTGAAGCAGGAGCTCAGAGAAGAGGACACCTACAGCTCACAAGTGCTCTGCTCTGAGCTCAGATCTGACAGCTTCTCCATCTTCCTCAGTCAATCGGTGCTTTCTTCAAACCCGGTAGCTAAACCATTCCTCACCCTCACAAATTTCACCCTTGGTGAGCACAACAGATGAGACAGTCCATAAAGAACCGTTTAAACATGGGAGGGGGGAATTAAGGGGCACGCAGCCGAGCAAACTTTCTCCAGGTCACATGGCCAAAGTGCTACCATGCCACCAGCCACCAGCGAGGACTCAGTAAATGTAACAAACTAAACTTTTAAAGGGAAATGCCAAAGCTGTACCATATGCCCCCAATACTTACGCTTCAGGAGAAAAATCCTTTTCTTTACAAACTTCCATCAGTTTAGGAGTCAGTCTGTATGCCTTCAGCGAAAGAGATCCTTGGGCAGTTTTTATGGGATCTCAAATAAAGAAAAGGGGGGGAATGACTAAGAATGTGTCACTAGCAGCGCTCCAACATTGACTGTGGGCACATTTTGTTACTTATCCGGCAATGGTTGAAGAATAAAGATAAAACAAAAACATAATCAGAGCTTAATCAGAAACAGATTCAAAGCTTTATAGCCAACGGTAAGTGAAAATTCAGGGCCCTGTGCTCATGCTACCTACCAGAGAGAAGATTTTCCTTCCTAAAATAAAAACTGACGGCTCCAAATACAGTCAAGATATTTTCAAATCGATCTCTCAGATAGCACCAGAAATTCACCTTACCAAATTAGGAGGGGGGGGGGGATGCCAATGAGGATTAAACACTCGCTGCATGTAGTTCTGCAAGTTAAAATGCATGACCTCGCAAAGGAAACGAATCCATTCGAATAGCTGCTGCTCAGGTTTCTTAGTTAAAATGGGTTCTAAAGCACAAAGCCTCTCATGTCAAAAGCGCTATCACAAAATGTCTTTTTTCATTTTAGAGAAGCTAATTTTGTCAAAACTAACTGCTCAGACACCCCGGGAGAACAAGAGCTTAACACTTGCTGTATGATAACGGCTCTGGCAGGCCAATAGTCGCCTCAAACCGGTGTTCACATTCATGTCGTCTGCAACTTAACACAGTGAAACTTTTAGTAAGAGGTGATAAAATAAAAAACGAAAATAGATTGAAACAAGTGGAAAATTCATCAAGGTCTGATGATGCAATGTTTCCAGCCAATATAAGTCCACTTTAACAACTTGTTCTTTACTGTAATCCAATTGTTAACATACTGAAACAATTTGGGGGCAGCTCCTAAGATTGATCGTATTCATTAGTATTTTTTCTGACAGATACTCGGGACGTTACATTTACTTCTCAGCTGGAAACTATATGCAAGTCTGCCAGAGATGGCAACCTGGGAGTGTTTGGGGAGGGGGACGGCTATAAAGCTGTTAAATTGCCTGCAGTTCTGATACAGCACAGAACATCTGGTCTGGAGAGCTTGAGGAAACACCATTAAATAGGCCGAAAAGAAAAAAATCTTTGTGCTAAGAAACAGTCCAGGTTTTGTACGCTGCTGTCAGAGGCATTAAAAAGAGAGAGAGAAGGGGCGGGGGGCACGAAAAAAAGCCCTTGGCAAGCTGTGTTATGATTGGTCAGTCACGTACAGAGCCAGACACTCCAGCAATCGGGGTTTGTTAGACATCTGGTCGGGTTCCACCGGCTCCTGCGATGAGGGAGGGAGATGGAGGCAGAAAACGCAGCAGCTACTCCAGCATTCCAAAGCGTACACATCAGGGCTCTGATAGCAAGAAAAATAAACAGAAAGAAGGAAACCCTGTCTAGACGGAGCTGCTGCTGGGGCTGCTGCAGAAACAGGGTTGGTATTTACTTGAGGAGCCCTGCCAGGCCGCTCGGAGAGGCAGAAAGACAGAGAGCAAAAGCCGGCGTCCTCATATGAAGGGAAAACAAAGGCAGCCCGACTGACCGTAAATGAGCACCACGGACTCCTCGATGGCGTGCTGGTAACTGAACTGCGAGTCCAGGAGCGCCCGTGTGACGAACGAGCCATAGAACGTGGACTGGTACCAACCCACGTGGAGGTGATCGATGTTCACGTGGCGAAGGCTCCGCATCATTTCCATCTGGTACTGGACTGAAGACACACAACACAACGAGGTCACGATGCCAGTAGTACAAGAGGTCTTTGGGGAGGCAAAGTTCCCCATAGCTGTTTATCAGCAATGGGGAAACGGGTCTCCCGATTTTAAAATTCCTTAAATCACATACAAAGAAAGTAAGATTGAGCTTTACAATCATTGGGGTTTTCCTTTTCTTCTCTAACAAACAACCATTTTATAGAAAGGCTATTAAAAATAGAACATTACGTGCCTTGTTCTAAACTAGAAATTATTACATGTAGCTCCTACGCCTCTCTGTTAAACCCTGAAAAACGGGAAAGGCTTAAGGGTGGGGGGTGTTTACGTAAATAACCCACAAGAAGCAGTTTCACTTGCATCAGTACAAAAAGTTGTAAGTCTCTTCTGCAACCCAGGTCTGAAGAACTGTTCAAGTCAAAACAATCAGAGAAACGAATGGGGCACAACTACCACCTTCAATATAAACAGGATACAGGCTGTAGCTGACTTACAATAGCAGAACGCATTTTTGCCTTCATCTGGTGCCCCCTGCTGCATGCACTACATTTAAAAATGAATTCGTTCTTTCCTGCCCGTGTGTTCTTTGTGCTCAGTGGCAGACACTAGTTTGTTCGTCGGAACAGGTAACAGTTATACTTTAATCACTATATAGGGAAAGGTTTATTTGCTCTTCACTTTGTCAAATTAACGACTAGAATGTGTATTACTGACTTGCTGCAGTCCGCGCTAAGGAAAAAATAAGTGCAAATAGACCACACACTACATAAGACGCCAAACAAAAAGCAGCACAGTCTAATGCCACACAGTAGGCACTGGGGAGAGTTCTACGATCGACTTACTGCTCCAGCTACCATTGTACGTAGGGAATGCACGAGTGTGCAAAAACAAACATTTTTGCTTAATTAGGAATGTAACTCTTTTATTTTCCAAACTCTTAATTAGGTTCTAGCTGAAGTTCCACGTCTCTCATTTCTGTGGTCATGGTACTACTAGGTTTTGCAGAGCAAATGTGCCTCGGGGTCATAAAGTGTCAAAGAGCCTTCCTCAGATGGACCAGGTCTTACCAGACATTTAGATGATAAACCTGCTTAATCTACGGATTCTATTTCTCATGCTGAAAGGTAGTAACTACTCACGACCGGCTTTTCTTCGTTTTTCTTTTGTTATTTAGACAAGCTGAAGAAAAGACAAGACCTAAAGAAAGTTTGCTCTGGCTGCTTGCAGGACCTTCGTGGTCCCATGGCAAAGGTGCAACCAAGCTGGAGGGGTCTTACTTGGTCAGCACGCACAGCAGCTGAAGCGGCTGTTCTGGAAGTGGACTGACCTTAAGAGAGGAGGGAGGAACCAAGTGGAGATGGCGTGGCTAATGATATTTATGTCATTTGCTTTTCAGTCAATGAGAAGACTGTCATATCAGACACATTTATACAGCAAACCATTTTATTACTAAAATGTGACAACAAAATCAGTCTTCTATTATATTTTAAACCACTCCTAAAAAAACACTACCACCTTAGAACTCCATTTTCCACACCGTGTGTTGGCGTCAAGCATCAGCGCTGGTCTAAAACTACTAAGAGAATCTTCCTCTGTTTGTGGCACAGAAGAGAATCTCCTTAACAGGTTGAATAAGGTTGAATAGGAAACAGGACCAAAGAATCCACGGTAAAGCCTCTCTGCTTTAGAAGGCCACAATTCTTTGAGATCAGAGTAAAATCACTGATTTGGCATAAATTTTAATCAGATTTAACTTCTATATGAAAAGTTTCTAAATCCACCCACTACCACCGAAACAAACAAAACAAGGGCCGGAAGAAAATTTGCTATTCTAAAGATAAAGAGAGTGATTACATAATGATCATCAGTCCAAGCCTGATTTTTATAAGAGGGTGACTCATACACACCCAGGGAGAGAACCAGCCCTTCGGAAACATCTGGCAGCATACACTTCAGTGGTACTATTAGCAGAAGTCTGAGCCTACGGACGTGGATTGATGGAAGACAAGCCTTGTCATCTAGAGATCTCTGTGGCCTCTCCCCAGACTTCCTGTCTAGTGCTCATTCTTCTCCAGCACTCAGTTTTCCCATCTCCAGAGGATCAGAGCGGTCCTCCTTCCCAAGCAAATGCCACCACTCCATATCATTTACAGGGTAGCTAACTATAATAACTATGATCTATAAAGCGGGGTCCACTAGTAGTACCCACTTATATTTCAAAGAAGCACACACAAAATGTTCCTAAGAATGCATTTCTCTGAAAAATATTCTGCAATTTTGTGAACCTCCCCTCAGCAGGAATACAGAGGATTCTGTAGCAGCACTTTCAGACTACAGGGGTAAGAGCCCACGATAGCAAACTGGCAGTCAAATCCCTCCTTCATCCAGGCTTCTGTCTTACAATCACTCCACGGCGGATGAAAATGTTGTATTTCTTTACCAGTGGAGAGTCTGGGGAATTATGCACCATGAGGCAGTGGAGTGAACTCTGCGCCCACAGATTTGCTTCTGGGAACTAAGAAACAGGGACGGGCTTTATTGATGACCTAAATTTATCTTGGATGGACCAAAAAATGTACGTGTAAGAAGAATGACGGACAAGTTGGTAAAACTCCTTTTAAAAACCTACAACACACTAGGACGTTCACTACTACAAAGTAAAATATGTAAGCTCCAGGGCATTCTCGATGATGCCCCACCCCAATTTTATAAATTAAGAGACAAGTGTGTGTGTACACACACACATACACACCAGGATAGTAAGGGGCCTCCAAATTGTCTTTTGGAAAATTTCCTTATCTCTTTCCATTCCACTTTTATCACAGTCCCCTTGTGTGTACAGATCTAAATGAATACCCTCTCTCAGAAGCAGTGCACAGAAAAAAGCAAGGGCCTAGAAGAATCAGACGCTTGGAAAGGTGGTGGGTCCAAAGCACTGTGGCTGCACTGGGGCCCAGATTTTGTAAAGCTTCAGTAAGTAGAGGAAGTGATGCTCTTTTGTACTAAGCCATCTACAAAAAACCAAGCACCAGAGACACCACTCATCAACAGCCCAGGAACTATGCATGTCTTCTCTGCAGATGCGTGGGCCTGGGTCCTCACTCTACTGTCACAGGCACAGCCCTGTCACCCTAGCTAAAGCTAGCCTTCTTTACCTAGTTTCCCCCTCTCTCCCACAATTCAAGTTTTCAAAAACTACAAAATCAAATACTGACAAAGCTTCCAGGTAAATTGAAGTGGGGTCAATTTACCCACTGCACCGATGACTTCCACTTGACGGCCTCAAAACCTCACTCCTGGCTGTTGCCAACAACGAATCGGTCTGAGATGCCACACCAGCTGGCATCTCTTAGTCCCTCTGGCCTATGGTAGTCACAAAAGAATCCTGAAGTGTTGTTACGTATCTGCTTGGAAATGGCCACTGTTGTTTTTTTTTGGCCTTTCTATTCCCATAAGTAGTCTCTCAGAAACTCACGGGGGCAGCTCTCTGTGCCGCCCACCCCCAACCCCATCCTATAGGGTGGCTATTCCTGATGGCAATGACTGAGTCTCTCTCTCATCACTTATTTTGGGGTTTAAGAGTAAGATGAAAGGAGGTGGCAGGGGAAGGAGGTGACAAAACCATGTCACAGACTGGTGGCTGCAAGTGAGAAGCATTTGCCTCCTTGTCCCTAGCTGGTCCTCACTTGTCTAGGCTGGTGTTTTAATGGAAAGGTACACCAAATTGGGTTGGAACATATTTAATTTGCCCCTATCTACTTAAAGAGAAACGGTCACCTCAAGAGGAAGAGAGTTGTGGCGCAGAAAAAGCAACAGCAAGATCCCTTCGCGCGTGTGCCACAGTTCGCCCCATCAATGGAGTGCAGGCCCCCTATTCCCCTCAAGGGCTAGCAGTCAGTTCTACCCTGTCCTACAGCGTCGCGATGAGGCGCCCTGTGTTCGAGGGCTTGAGCTGGTTTTTGGGTCTGGCAACTTTGCAGAGGTGGCCAGTAGTTGGACACTTCCTGTTTTAACAGAAGCCCATGCAGCGACTTCAACCCGTGACATTCCCTCCAAGTTAATGGCTAAGTGTTCTTGGGGAATTTCCTAGAGATAAGCAGCAAGGGGGCACACTCTTTGGAGGGGTGTTTAAGTTTATGGTAATGCTCAACAGCCTTGTGTAATGAGAACATTTCTTGGTTTAGAAGCAAATACCCTGCCACCAGAGGAGGAACAGTCGCAGCAAAGGATTTTCAAAGACAAATTGGTAGCTAGGACTAAACTAACTCGAATTACTAATACAAAAGTTGCACACTTAGATGCAACTGAGGTAATGCTGTGAAATTTGGAAGGATTACAAAAATGAGCTGGAGTTTTAGAAATTCCGGCAACCTCTACAATTGTCTTAATTGGTTAAGCCTCTCCCAAGCAAAGGAGAGTCTGGCTGACAGCACTGAATAACTGTTCCAGGTTTGGCACCAGGATATCCACATTCACTTTTTCCAGATATCTCCTTTGCAAAACAGTCCATTTTAAAGCGCCTAGAGCTATAACTATACTCAACTGAGGCAGGCTGCCCAACAACTATTCCTTTCCAAACCCCCCTCCCTGCCCCATTTGTGGGGCTTGCTCTTGTTTTATCTTCTAATACGAAAACACTGAAAAGAATATGTTGTATTAGTTGAACCTGCTCTATCTGGAGTTACGCTGGCAAAATGTAGTGTGAGGTCTCCCAAGATCCCTGGGAAGGGTCATGGATTTATTGTTCAGTACAACAATTACCCAGAATTGTTGTGCCCTTCCATTTCTCGCCCGTGTTTTCAAAATCAACTTTATGTTAATTGGATCCTCATGAAATACAACTTTTTACTGAAAAACAGAAACCATGAACTGCACACATCTGGCTGGGCTGGGCTGAAAGCAGGGCCTTATAGTATAGCATACCTTAAAGTCAAGATCTGTCGAGTAGATTGGGGGGCTGGGGTTGGGAGACTGGTCCTAGATGTTTACTGGTTATTAC